CAGCCTTACCAGGCCACAGAAGATGACAATGCAGCCACTTCTGATGAAAACTGATTGTCTAAGATCAGAAAGAAGGAGAGGAAGACTTCCCCTATCAGTGGACTTGGGGAGGGGCATGTATGCAGAAAGGGGAGGAAGGGTATCAGGAGGGGAGGAGGGAGGGGCTGATGGGGGGATACAAAATGAATAAAGTATAATTAATAATAAAAAAGTAAATATTTATGAATAAAATAACAGTAATAAAAAAAAGAATATCCAAAGAATCATTAGGTCTTACTTCAAAAACCTTTTACTCCACAAAATTGGAAAATTTAAACAAAATGGGAAAATTTTAGATAGATACCACTTACCAAAGTTAAATCAAGATCAGTTAAACAATTTAAGTAGTTTAAATAGGCTTATAACCCCTCTAGAAATAGAAGCAGTCATTAAAAGTCTCCCAAACAAACAAACAAAAATGCCCTGGGCCACAATATTCCTCCCACAATCCTAAGATAAAGTCAAACACAACTGGCAACAACAACAAAAAAAGTCAATGAAATGATTCCTTATAATATTCTGTAGTACACATAGATTGGTACTAACTGTCATCAGAGAGGCTTTACCTAGCAACTGATGGAAACAGATACAGAAACCCACAACCAAATATTAGGTGAAACTCAGTGAATCTTGTGGAAGAAGGGAAGGAAGGATTGTAGGAACCAAAAGGATCAAAGACACCACAAGAAAACCTACAGAATCAACTAACCTGGGCTCATAGGGGCTCACAGAGACTGAACCAACAATCAGGGAGCTGGGTCTGACCTAGGTCCTCTGCATATATGTTATGATTGTGTAGCTTTGGGGTTCTTGTGGGACTCCTAACAGTGGGAGCAAAGGCTGTCTCTCTTACTCTTTTGCCTGCTTTTGGGACCCTTTTCCTCCTACTAGGGTGCCTCCTCCAGCCTTGATATGAGGGTTTATGTCTAGTCTTATAATTTGATATGGCATCGCTGAAGCCTGCCTCCATGGGAGGCCTGCCATTTTCTAAAGAGAAACAAAGAGATGGTGGTGGTGGTGGAGGTTGGGGATTGGGAGAAGAGGATGGAGGGGAAACTGTGGCAAAGATGTAAAAAGAAATCATATAGTCCAGTTTATCACAGCAACTATCCCAGTTTTCAGCAGCTGTGAGAAAAATCCCTGACCAAAGCAACTTAAGCTTTTATTGTCTTAAGGGTATTGTCTGTCATGGCAGTAAGAGAGTCATGGATGCAGAAGCATGGAGCCGTTGGGCACATTGTCCCCACAGTCCAGAAGCAGAGAGAGATTCATGCTGGCTAACATCTTGCTTTCCCCTTTTTCCCTAGTCTGAGACCCTTGGGATGGTGCTGTCCAAATTTTGTTAAATTGTGTTTTATTTATTACAACTTATTCACTTTGTATCCCAGCTGCTGCCCACTTTTAAGAAGAGTCTTCCCACATCAGTTAGCTCAATCTAGAAAATTTCCGTATAAACATGCCCTGAGGACTGTCTCCTGGGTGATCCTAGGTTCTGTCAAGTTAGCTGTCAATATTACCTATCAGAGTTCCACAGCCAAGCGCCACTCCCCACTTTACGCCTCCTGCTGCCTCTGCCCTGCGGAAGTCTTCACAGAAAGGATGAGAAAACACAGTGCTACATGATCCCAACATCTTTGAAGCTATGCTTCTCGCAGCACCCACGCACCTATAGAGAAAGCCTGTGGTGTCAGCTAAATGTCACTCTACTACAGAGAACAAAGAAAGCTCTGACAGGAAGAGCCAGTTGTTACGATTTTCTAACCAAGTACGGGTGAATCTAGAACTTTCTCCGGACCTGTGTACTGCTCATTGCTCTTGGTGTACTTCTCAATTGAAGCTTTGTCACTGAAAACTAAACACAATGCAAACTTTGCTTTGGGAAGCTCCCGAACGAACGTGCGGGGCATCTCCTTTATCCTAACAGAAGATGACAGGCTTTCTTTCTAGTTTTGTCGCTCCATGAAAAGTACCTTCCCACAAAGGCTCACAGGGACCCAGACTATCTATCCTACTCACAAACTCTGGAAGTTTTCAATTTGAGATTATATTGAAGAGGGATCCGGATTTCAGAACTCAATACAAATGAGGGTTCAAGGACAAAGGGAAGAAAGGCCATGCAACATACATGGGCTTAGAACTTCCAGAACATTGTCCCATTTGTGTATTAGTGCTGACCTTGACACACTGGTCAGCAGGCATCTGAGGGTGCCTTTTGTGTTAAAATCTGAAACCAAAACATCATAGTGATTTAACCATGATGGAGGGAAGGAGGTGGGACAGAATCTTTCAGGAAAACTAAGCTATGAAAAATCTAAATGCTCTTTTCCTTAATTATCAAATAGATCTATAAACCTCAAACAGAAACAGAAAGTACTTGGTATAATACTGTTAGTACAAACAAGGCCGTATTATCAGTAGAAAAAAAAATCTAGAAGACTGGCATGTAACTGCCTTGAGGGAGTGGAATCAAAATCGAGGAATTTAAGGAGAGGAGGACCTCCCCTATCAGTGGACTTGGGGAAGGACATGGGTGGAGAAGGGGGAAGGACAGTGGAATTGGGAGGGGAGGAGGGAGGAAGGTACAGGGGAGATACAAAGTGAATAAACTGTAATTAATAATAAAAAATAAAATAAAATTTAAAAAAGTGAGGAATTTGACAGACGCCTTGAGTTGTTGTGATACTTACTCATTATAGCACTGGACATTAAATTTACCCTCCTTCACTTGTAAACCAGCAAGTTGTACAAGTGAACAGGGCACATGAATAGGATGCACAATTAATGCTTTTTCACACTCCCTACCTGTGCCCACACATCCTGTGCCCTACCTTTCCACCCATCACAGAGAACGGTGTATTCCTTATTACACCCCAGAGTGGAGCTCTAGGGATGTAGGTCAGACATGCATCAGGATGACAGCTGAAAAGGACCACTCTATAGAGGGACTGGCCTGACAAGACTGTCAGCCCCACAGGGCATCCCTCACCTGGGAGATACCAACCTCAACACAGCTAAATATCAATGGGACAAGATGTGCCTGATGTTTTCAGAGGTCCATGGCCTGAACAGAGAAGAGGTTTCTCTTTGAGTGGCTAGGGAGACTCCCTAAGTGGCTGAAGTGGCTGGCCTGGCTTAGAAGCTAGGGGATAGACCCATGTCCTTTCACCCACCAATGTTCCAGAAGAATGAGAGAAATGAGACGATCCAAACCTGGAATGATAAGTAGAGCCCAGTCTAGGAAGTGTAGTCTTATCCCTACCAAATGCCCTGGTCACTTTGCTACCCCAAGAGTGCACTCCAACAGAGAAGAGCCAAGCTCCCGAACACCAGGGTATTTGAAGATGCAGGCATTTCGGGAAGTCTAGACAGGGCTTCTCCAACCTTCTACTCTGGTTGAGAGCGCAGAAAGTCCTACCCTAGCCTACCAGAAAGTTCAGAGAAAGGAGTCTAGGCTACCTCTCCCAGCCCAGGTCCACAGCTCCCTCTTTTCCTGAAGAGCCAAGAGGGACATAAGAACTAGCCCAGGCTACCCAGAGCCACACCAAAGCAAATTCCTCATAGGGACTGTCTCTGGCTCTTGCTGTAGGAGAAAGAACTTGGCTGCCTAGGGTAGCCAAGCAAGGCTACTGGGTAACAGTAATCTCTGCAGAGATCCTGAGTGGGCTGCTCAAATGGCTGAGGACTCAGTTTCTAACAGCCAGTGAGCTGTGGACATCGAAAACCCAGATAGAGGAAAGATGCTATGGACACAGCCATCAGGAAGTACTGTCGTGGCCTCCCAGATTTCAGGAAATAAGTCAGTCACAGAGGTTGGGTTCTGACCACCCACCATGGGCCCTGCAGAGGCTGGGCCTTCCATGTCTTTTGTAAAGAAAAGCCACTCACTTATCCAAAACAAAGTAGATGTCAGGAGTGGCCAGGCATGGTTCCTGATTCGAATTCCTTTGGTGCCTCATATGCCTTGGGTTCTGGTCTTCATGATGATGGAAAGTTCTGGAGTCCAAGCCAAGTCCATGGTAGTTTTCCCAGTCAGGGTACATGTATAGGAAGTTCCCTGTGCTAAGCAGTGATGGGAGTAACATCAGCGGGAACAGTATACAATGCGGTACCTGGGGGCAGAAGCGCAGCATTTTCTTGATGGTCCCAGATAGGCTACCCACAGGCCACCTCTGACTTCCTTCTCCGGTGCCTCTGCCTGTACTTAGGGACAATAATCCTGCGTCCTCTCACCAACGCTCACTGCTTCTCTCCACTTAGAGCACAGGGACTGGGGACATACTAGCTGCTCTGGGGCATCCTGCCTCTCACTGCCTGTACAGCCCTTCCCCCAACACCCTGGGGTTATGATGAACAGGAAGGTTGACATGGTGACTTTGTGACCTGCCCCTCTGCTCAATGCCCTGCATGCTGACAGTGCCAAGTGCCAGTCATAGGACCTTTGGTGTCAGATAAGGCCTCCTTATTCCTTACCTAGCCAAGGAATCCAGACATTTCGTTCACTGAGACTGTATTTCAAAGTAGCTAAGATCACAGGTCACCATGCGTGAGGAAGTCCAGGTGGGAAATAGGAAGCTGTTTGTGGGTCCTTAGGCCAGCCAAGTGATGACAAAGTGGTGGACACGGCAAGTTCCTGCCACCATCTTTTGTAAACAGGAACAGTCCTGTCATCCACTGCTGTGTGAGAAGCCACCCAACATTGGTGACTTAAAAACTATTTTATTATATTTGAAGGGTGGGGCCCTCTGGAAGGATAGAATAGGAGAGCTTTCAAGATGGAGCTCCTTGGGAAGACCTGAGTGGGGAGGCAGGACTTTGAATTTCCTGGAGGTTTCCTCAGAGGCACCTGGGCTAAAGTTCATCTCCTGCTTGGACCCTGCTGCATTTCTTAGTTGTGAGTCAAGAGAACCATAATACACTGATGAGGAGTTCAAGAACTCTAAAATACCAACTATTTAAGATATTCTATCATTTCAAATAATTTCTGAAATAAAACAAAAGCAACCTGAACCAATGCAGTGGTTTTTTGCCCATTATATGAATTTAGAAGATCTATTTTAAACTTCTTAAGAACAATTTCATCAGATTTGCTTTTGTGCGCATAAAAAAAAGAAAACAAAGTTGATTAAGCTGAGCCTGTTTGCGCTCAGTGGGAAGGCTCTGGAACCCTTTTAAACGCAGTTGTCTCCCCTGACAACGCAAGTGCTGTGATGAAGCAGGGTAACCATAGGCAGAGCCCACCCACAACCCTCAGAGCTGAGGGCTTCGTCCATGCTCTAAATATTTGCTGCAGCAGGAGCTCTGACCTGTAAGGATGGGTGATGTCATAAAGGGCTCCACATCTTGACCTTGCTCCGAGTAGGTGCTCTCAAAGCTCTGAGCCTCCATCAGGAAAGTCAGTTCCTCTTGATACCCACCACAAAGTGAGGAGTCCTGACTCATAGATGCCACATGGGCAAGGGTTCTCCAGATGAGTGTTTAGAGTTCTCCAAGCCCACGCAACACAGGCAACAGTTAATTCCAGATAATTTCAGTCTCCCCCAAACCCTACCTCAGTGCTGAGCCTTGTCGCCTGGACCTTTTCATTCCAGTCTCCCCAAGGGTCTGACTCATGATCTCTGAGCAAAATAAAACAGCTCTGTGTTAAGTCACCAAGACTAAGCAGCTTGTCACATGGCCCTGGATGGCGGGACTCTTCCTACTCATAGAAGATGCTGGCAGCAGTATGCACCCTCCATCCCATTGTAGACCCTGCTATTGCCTGGCTGACTTGAGGGCCCACAATTGCTCTCCCACTTTCCATACCGGCTTGCTGGTTCTTCTGCTACCTTCTTAGTGGGAAAAAAA